ATTGCTGCTGAAGTGAATACAACATGACGACTACACTTGTCAGGTCTAGTGAAGAGTAACAATATATTTCCAAGACGCAGTTACGGTATCTGCTAACAATGTGAGAAAGTACGCATATGGTCAACTACATGTGTTGGTGACAATATGGAAATTCTGATGAAATTTTGGGAAATTGTTATCGGTCTCTGAACAATTCTCAGCGAGTTCATATACAAACTCCTACAATTAACGAGGAAACTGCTGAATTCAAGAACATGTATCCCAACACTGCTACTCTTCAAGTCTTGTCATGCCCCAGTGTAGTTTCATGTAGCACTGAGTCATCTAAACTGTCCCTCTGCCACTTGGCACTAAGTTCTTTGAAAATATGAGTGCTGCTAGCATCTATCTCTAGTACCCATATTTATGCCAAAGTATATTAGTGTTATCAACGAACAGAGTGATCACAAGACGCTAAGATGATCGCGGCAACGAATAGAATGACGACCACAAGATGCTAAGATGATCGCTCCAATGAACAGAATGACCACAAGATGCTAAGATGATCGTTCCAATTAACGAAGTGATAATAAAATGCCTAAATTCGACTAGAACGCACCTTGTGCCGCACCCGAGGTGGCGCCATCAGCCGCAGCACCAGCGAGCCTCGTTACTCTCTCTGTTGCTACGAAGCATGCATCAGCGGCCAGTTTCTTGAACCCTCCTTGAGCTCTCGTCTGAAACGCCACATTCACTGAAACAGTTTCAGACGCCTTTCCACAGAAGTTGAAAATGTCGAAATATACAACAAAATTCTCCATACATTTTCGAAGTACATATCCCCCGAAGAGAACCACTCCTATTTCAACAGAGTTTGATATCACAATCATTGAAACAATTTCAGACGCCTTTCGACAGGAGCTGTGAATGTCGAAATATACAGCAAAATTCTCCATACATTTTCGATGTACATATCCCCCGAAGAGAACCACTTCTATTTCAACATAGTTTGATATCACAATCATTGAAACTGTTCCAATGGCTTTTCAACAGAAGTTGAGAATGTCGAAATATACAGCAAAATTATCAATACATTTTCGGTGTTCACAGTGAAAACCCGACGAACATACCCCCAACACGTTCTGAAGTGAGCCACTTCTATATCAATTGCAACGTGACAAGATCGAATCTTGTGATCCAGCGATGCGATGAGTAGCAGCAACAAACAA